GTCAGCCCCGGCTCTTCTCGGCATCGGGTGACGTATTCTTTGCATGGGAGAAGTGGCCCAGCAGCAGTCCGGTATTTGCTTGGGTGGCAAAAGACGCCTAGGCTTTCCTTTTCCTGCACGGATTCGGTGTCGTATGGGTCACTGGTGCAGGACTGCTGTTCGTTCAGGGTCCTGCGGGGATTTAGAAGCTGTGAATGCTAAAAGAGGCTGTGACGCATGGCAACCAAAACTAGATGTGCAATGCCCCGGAGGGTCGTTGGGAAACAAGACCTTTGGTCTTGGCCATCTGTATTTGGTGGCTTGGTCTGTACAGTGCGCACGCCTGCCGGTGCTCATGCAATGAGACATGTCCAAAATCCATCCTGCAGCTACCTCTGTGCAAATATGGGCTAAGGCCAAAAATTTGATTTGGCCTTAGTTTTTGTAGTTTTATTTGAGAGGTGAGTAGCATGTTCTGTGTTATTGAGGCAGTTGCAAAAGTCAGCATATTCTGGGACTTCTGAAGGGTTTCACGTTGTATGAATAGAAAAACATTTCTTGACCAGCCTTTGGGAAGCAGACAGTGAAGAACAAGGATGCTGACTTTTAGCAACCTTGTGCTGGAAGGAATCAGTCTTTTCCAAAGCATTAGTATCCTTTTTTTTAGGACATGTAGTGATAGGAGAAGGGCCAATGGCTTTAAACTGGAAGACAGTAGATTTCGATTAGATATAAGGAAGAAATTTTTCACTCTGAGAGTGGTGAGGCACTGGAACAGGTTGCCCAGAGAAGCTGTGGCTGTTCCATCCCTGGAAGTGTTCAAGGCCAGGTTGGATGAGGCTTTGGGCAACCTGGTGTAGCGGAGGGTGTCCCTGCCCATGGCAGGGAGGTTGGAACTAGATGATCTTTGAGGTCCCTTCCAACTCTAACCATTCTATGATTCTATGATGTTTCTTTCTTTTGCCAACAAGATGTAATTTTCTAATACTGATGTAAGATTGTAATTAGAAAACAGATTGTAGTAGTGTGAGTTGCTCAGGTAAGGGTAACACGGGCAGATATTGATGTTGCCTCTGCTTTGGTGGCATCGGCAGCCTCATGTTTGATTAGGGTGTTTAGCCGACTCTCTTTTTGTTCCTTGGCTTTTTGCAATCTTCTGCTGGCTTCCTGAGGAAAGAGTATGAGAAAAGGAAAATCCTGCTTTGTTACGAGCTAATAATTAAACAACTGAGTGTGACAAATAAAAGACATGTCACAGTCTGTTGCACTGCCAAAAGGAGTTGCTGCAAATAATGCACATGGGAACTATTTCCAAAGAAAAAAGTCACAAGTACCTTCTCTCCCAGCCCTCAGTAAAAAAATCCATATATAGCATCTCACTGTTTTAAAAAAAAAAAGTCTAGAAATGAGACAGAAGAAGGTTTTCTGGCTTCAGAATTAGTTTTAGTTGTTTTTTCTTAATATTTTCTCTCAGGTGCTTGCATCCCTTGCTACAGGGCCCAGACAAAACAATGGCATTTTCTATGAAATTCGCACATACGATGTTAAGCCGTGGAAGATGAAGGAGTTTGTGGAAATCATCAACAAGTATATTCACCTTCGCACAGCTCACTCTGAGCTGGTGGGTTTCTGGTCTGCGGAGCTGGGAGCAATGAATAAGGTGGTCCACATTTGGAAGTACGGTATGCTCAGCATCCCTTTCACCTGCTCTGCTCTCTCTGTGCTCCCTGTCTCCTAGGCAAGAAGGCAAGGAGAATGCTTACCCGGCTTTTTTTTGTTGCTCTTACTGTAAGAAAGTGTCCAAAAAAAAAGTGTTCCTGTACTGATTACTGAAAAGAATACTGCAGAGCCTGTCAGGACAATTTTGACATGTTGGGATGAGAGAGTGCCAACTGTTCTTAAACAGTGAGCTCTGCTCAAAACAGATATAATGGGGGAACTACAGCCGAGTGCTTTGTTTGTGGTAAGTACTTTTCACTTAGGGCCAGTTTGTCAACTGCAAATGTCTTCAAAATTTCAAAACAAATTAAAAAAAGGTTGAGACCTCTTTAATAAGATAAGAGATGTAAGTGCAGACAATCTGTATGCAGCCTGTGTATGTTTATATCTATGTATAATTGTTCTCAAATTTTAGTTCATTGGAACAGGCACTCCACTAAAACTATGCGCACGCAGTTTGCATGCTTAAACTCCTTCTGCAGCTGGACTGTGCTGAGGTAGGAAGCCACTCCACCAGCTCCGACTTCCCAAGCGCACAAAGTATTTCGTTACTGCTTCAGCCTTGGTAGCGGCAGGCTTCTTGCAGTATAGTCAACTTTCTATGTTGTTGGAGTCGGTGCTGACCTGGAAGGTACTGGTGAGCCAAGAAAAGCTACAGTTATGTGCAAAACTAGGTGTGCTGCTGTGCTCTTTGTGGGGCCCAAGGGAACTTGATTCTTGGGTTATGGAGAGGTGAGAAGGTGCGCCGGTATCATTTCTTTGTGTATCTGCTGCAGTCCAGGGTATATCTGTTTGCTGAGACAGAATTTTGTTTCTGAAGTCCTCACTCTGCTTGTTGAAATCCAGCATGTTCACAGTACCTATTTACAGTAAAGTAAAGTCATCCCTTCTGTCCTGGAGGAGGGAAGAGACCAGCCTTCTGTTGATAGGAACGAGTTTACATGCACCTATGGTTAATAAATTGTCTTGCTTCTCAGAAGTTTTTAGCCTTGTCTGTTGTTTCTTTCTCTAAAATAAAAAATAACCCTGGTTTTGATAACGTATGAGAAACTTCTAAAATGCAAAACTAAGGAGAAACCAAACATTCTTTCTCCTTGATTCATCAGACCTCTGCTTATATCTTTTTAGTAGTTATAAATAATTAGTATATTTTTCTCTTAGTCCCAAGATACTGAAATTTCTCAAGGTTCTTCCCATTCTCAGATGCTGGATTTTTCTGTCACAATATTGAAAGCAGTCTGCATAAACAAACTGCTTAAGATGCCACTGCAGCCTAACCAGTTGAAATTCAGACACTCTTTAATTCAGTAAATCAGGATTTGATTTTAATTAAGGAAAATAAAAAGAGAGAAGAAAAGGTTTAGGTCTAGGGAATTTAATAACTTCTATGTAGCTGAACAAACATGCATTATTTCTACACTTGTAATTTTAATATAATTTTATATAAGCCAAAAGTCATATTTTTCTTCGTTTTCTCTTGGTAGGCTAATATTCCTTCTGATTTTTCTTTTCCACTTCACATCCTTATTGACTGTGCTTTCTCTGAGTCTCCTTATCCTTGTTAACTGTTGCCACATCCAGTAGGCCCTGCAGATGCTGCGTACGAATCTTTCTTTACAGCAACATTGCTTGACATATTTTAGCTTTTTTATAAACTTTCTTGGAAAATGTGGCTTGACTTGACACCATTTAAGTCTGAGAGCTAAAGCAAAAGATTTTTGCACAATTTGAAGGAAACTTACCACATCTGCTTTGAGCTAATAACGCTTTTTAAAAATACCAGTTTCAAACTTATGTAAGTGCAGCTTGCCTCCTTGTAATTACACAGTTTGATTGGGTCTGATGTGACATTAAGTGCATTTTTTCATAGTTTTTATCTTTTTTTTCCTTTCTTACAGATAATTTTGGCCACAGAGCAGCAGTCCGGCATGCGTTGGCCAATGACAAAGAGTGGCAGGGAAAACTCATTGACTCGATTCTCCCCTTCGTAGAAAAGCAGCACAATGAGGTTGCTTATCTGGTACCCTGGTGTCAGCTTGGGAAGCCTCCAAAAGAAGGGGGTGAGCTTATCTTCTCTTTTGCTGGTTAAAGTTACTGATGCTGGCAGACGACAGAAAATGGCTTAAAGTTTAAACCAGGTATTACGTGGTTTTATAACCCTTTGTGTAACACGTACATGTACATACACCCGTGTAAAAAAGATGGCATAACACAGATGAGAGACAAAGTTTTTAAGAAGGATTTTACATTAACTTACATAAATAACTGACTAGATCCCTGATCGTTAAGGTTCTAAAGAGATGTGTGAATCACCTAAATGAACACGCAAAATGGCAACGCTGTGGTAGTGGTCAGAGCAGTCATCCTGGACTTGCTTTGTCTGTCCATCAGAGAGACGGCATTTCCTGGAGACACTGAAGACAGTGATGGTTCTCTTTCATAGAGGTTTTTCTCTGTTATTAGTCTGCTTTGATGTCACTGCTTCTTTCACATAATAGTTTTAAGAAAACAGAAAAATCCCTACTTTTAAAGATACTGCAAGTCAAGCATACTTTGTAACAATCACAGATTAGGTGTAGGCGTCCTGTCCTTGTGTATCTTAATTCTCTCTGTAGCCAATGCGGTATTAATAGTATTGACCATTCCCCAGTTTATGAATGTTTGCAGACTTTGTTGCATGGAGTGACATCACACAGCCCTTGCTTTAGCCTGTGCAAATACACAGTAACCTTTGTTCTTTATTTCCATGTGATTCTGAATTTTATACTGTTACCATTGAATTTGAACGCAGTCCAGTTTTCTCTTAAAACTGGAGAGCTGACTTTTAAAACACTTTGTTGCCCTTCTAGTTTATCTCTAGCCCGTTGCTGGAGAATGAGACCAGACATACATTGCCGTGTGGCAAGTATCTAGCTTTCTATTAAAGTGTCAGCAATTGTGATCTAGACTAACTACCTGAATGGAAAGGAGACTGATAGCGTGTCTTGTAGCAGGGCTGGAGTTTTTTGGCAAATCGTGCCATTTGTCTACAAACAAGGGAGATTGTGTGGCAGAGCAGGGATCCTAAACTAGTTCTGGTCTGTTGGCTGTACCTTTAGATCTTGCTGTGACCAATTGCCAGGAGTCAAAGGGGTTTATAATGTCATAAACCACTTCAATTCCAGGAAACATTGCCAGTCTTAGAAAAGGCCACCTTCCGTTGTTCAATTAACCATCCAAATCCCACAAACATGTATGAGTATGTATGATTTCTGTGAAGTAGTCTGAATCTCTCCAAATTTCCAGGCAACACTGACAATTGCTAAGTTGGGCCTTGTGTAAAGCTGCCTGTTCCTCAGGGTCCTGGTACTTATGTTTACACTTGAAGTAACTCCATTTAGCGAGCCGCTTGCCTGTGAGCCCCTGGAAGCTGTTGGATGTTGTGTGTGCTGGGATGAACGGGCAGTTTCATGTCCTGCTGACCCCAAACAGGAGGGAATTGCAGTGCTGGTTTCGCAATAAATACATCCTAGCCATGACACACTGTTTGAGTACCGGCATATTAATTTGTATTTGCTTCCTTGAGGTCATCTATACCTTTTCTTCCAGGAATATACGAATGGGTTACTTTCCAGATGAAGCCTGGTGGGCCAGCATTGTGGGGTGAAGCATTTCAAGCTGCAACCAATGCTCACATCAACACAGGCTACACCAAGCTGATCGGTGTTTTCCACACAGAGTATGGATTACTTAACAGAGGTGCTACTCAATTTCTAATACAGACTTTGGCATGGGAAGGGGCAGAGGGAGAGGGGTAAGCCCCTGTCCTGGATCAAGATTGGCCAGCTTGATGAAAATGTTTGTGTAGATCACCAAAGTCCTGTAAACAGTCCTTGAACGCAGCTTTTTGTATTGGGTTATAGGCTTAAGCCAAGCGCTCCTATCTTAGAAAGACTCTCAGGTCTGATGTTAAAGAGTCAAACCTTTTAGCAGCCCAGCAAAGGATCATCCCACCACTTACTTGCCTGGAGAATTGTTTCTGCTAACTGCAGGGCATGTAGCAGGTGAAGACAGACAGCTAGGTCTTGCAGTACATGTTGTGCTGCAGCTTGACAGTATTCAGCTGACTTTATTTGTACTTTCTCAGTCCACGTGTTGTGGTGGAATGAGAGCCCAGATCAGCGGGCAGCAGGAAGGCACCGTGCCCATGAAGACGCCAGAGTGGTAGCAGCTGGTAAGAGATGATAGATCCAGAAAACTCGCATGCATGCTGAGAAAAGTATTATTTCTCATTGGATTACTGTCTTAATTAAATATGCATTTAATTTCAGTACGGGAGAGTGCCAGATTCTTGGAGTCCCAGCAAAATGTGCTCCTGATTCCTCTGCAATGCTCACCGCTGAAGTGACCTTCTTCTAAAGGATGTAACTGATGGCAGAAAAGACAAGATGGAAGTGCCATCAGCAAGTGCTGTCACATGGATTGTCATACCCTCATGAACTGAGCTGCTCTTCAGTTTACAATAAATAGATGTAAAATGCTGATCACTAGCAATGTAAATCAGTAAAATTTTGCACCCTGATAGCAATTGCTAAACAGTTGTTTATGGTAATTTTGCAACATCCCCAGGAAAAAAGATCTTGAGCCATATCACTTATGGCATGAAGTACACTTCACCTGTCTTTTATGTTAACCCCTCAGTTTGTAATACCTTTCCGCATGGCTAGATCACTTATCGAACCTAGTAAGTTAAGGGCTCTTTTCCCACGGTACAGCTCAAGGCTGGTACCATTTTCATAAAATACTTTTGTGACTCTTCTAATTATCACATTATGGCTGTTGTGTACTAGTTTAAGAAGTAATGCACCTACATACCTGTTACCTAGTTACGTTTTAATCAGCTTTCTCATTGGGATGCTTTGTATTGATTCTGAGTAATGATGTAAAACATCCATGTGGATGGAATTGCCGCTAGGAGGTTCTGCAGTGAAGCTGGTCAGGTAGTGTGTCCCGATGAACTTGGCCACAAGACGAGCATTTATTCACTATCTTGTTATAGTTCACTTCAGCCCTTTCCTTTTTTGTTGAGTAAACACTTCCTCAAAACTCTGCCTTAGACACATAAGGCTTTGCCTTAGGTATTTGAATGTTTGTTTAAGGTGCTGAAGTTGATTAGCCTTTCTTGTTCAACTGTGTAGTCAAACTCAGCTGATCTACACGTGCTTATGTTCTTTGAAATACTTTCTGCCAGATTGTTGAAAGCCAAATAAATCTATATGAAGCATGAATTTTTAGTGTTTATGGTCAAGCTCTTACTCTTTTTAAACTGTGAAATGATGTACTGCATTCTCCAAGTGTGGCATTTTCAGGTCTTGCATTTTGGTCAACAAAAGTCTTGATAACAGTTAGAGCCAGTAAGCTAGAGTGAATAGCAGCAGCGCAGAGGGCACGTGGGCTGAGAAGTCAAACTTGTTTTTGTGTACAGTGGTAGGGAGCACCCTCTTCTGCTATTTAAAGGTCACTAACTGGCAGAGCACCCAGAAGGCTTTTCCACAGGTTAATCACTGACCTGCAACGAGCAATTGATTTCTCTACTGAAGTATCTTTGTGCAGTCTGCCTCATGATGATTATTGGTTCTGTAAAGTGCATTAAGATCTCGTGGAAAACATTAAAAAAACAGCTGTAGACAATTATACTTGTGTCCGAGGTGGGTAGATGGGATCCAGCTGCTGCAGTTACAGGAGTACGTAACAGGTCCCAGCTCCTATGCAAAAGTCTTTGTACTCTCCTCCCTCTGACAGAGCTGTCTTTAGGCCAAACCATCCTATGATTCTCAGGGTGGAACATGCACTACTTCAGAGACCACTGTCTTATATTTTATAAATCAACTTTTTAAGGTATAAATGACTGATAAGCTCTCACTACTAAGTTGATTCAGAATGTTGCCTTATGGCAATTAGCTCAAAGGAGAACTTTTTAGCAACAAAAATGAGCTGAAAAATAGGATGGAATTAAGAGTACTTTTCCCACAGAAATGCAAAAATTGTTTTATTGTTTACTGGAATAAAAAATAGAGAGGTGTACTAAAAACTGTATTTTTTTTTAGTAAAACTATTTTCCTTGTCACCAGCATTTATAGTAAAAAATACTCTGGATGTTAGAGGTGTGCTTTATTCCAAAGTTTGTTGTTTTCTGAGAAGAGATTGATAAACCAAGCACTTAACCCAGAGCACCAGCTTGGCATTAGATCAAACCAGAAAACTCAGGAAATTTTAATTGCTTTCTTATCTTGAGGTGAATTTTCCTGATGAGTGTAATTTCAAGAATTGGTTGAGTGTAAATTCAAGAATTTGGCTGAAGCTTAATTGGTTGATAGTGGGAGTATGGGCAGTAGCAGGCAAAATTTTGACATCAGGTTTCCTTTGAGCAGTTGGACTGTTATTCTGCTTTCATTTGTAAAGTGCTGTTCAAAATCAACATAGTATTAACTTGAGTGATCTTCCTTTAATTTTATATTAGCTAGAGATAAACCTGGGGGTTGCATGCCAATGCTTGAGGGATGATGTGCTAGTGAGGTCCTTCGGTCTACCGTCTCAGTGGAGGGAGGGGATGGATATGCATGTGGCTGTAAAGATGCAAGGGTTATATTGATGTCTTAGAAACCACGGTAGTGCCTGAGAATGGTCACATAGGAATTAGGGCTTCTACCCCCAGAAAAGTGTCAGGACCAATAGCTCAACTGAAGTGCATCTACACCAGTGCGCACAGCATGGGCAACAAACAGGAGAAGCTGGAAGCCGTTGTGGAGCAGGAAAACTATGATAACAGTTGCCATTACAGAAACATGTTGGAATGGCTTGCACAACTGGAGGGCTGCAGTGGATGGCTGTAAACTCTTCAGAAGGGATAGGCAAGGAAGCAGAGGTGGTGGGGTAACCCTATATGTTAGGGAGTCTTTGTGGGCAAGAATCGGGGAAGGCCAACAAGGCAGATGTCATGGTGGGAGTCCATTATAGACTGCCCAACCAGGACGAAGAGGCAAATGAACTATAAGAAGCTGGGATAAGTCTCACTATTGCTAGCCCTTGTTCTCGTAGGGGACTTCATCTTACCGGATGCCTGTTGCAGAGAAGAAACAGTCTAGGAGGTTCCTTGAGCATGTGCAAGGTGAGAGAGATGACTTCCTGACACAGCTGGTAAGGGATCCAAAAAGAGAAGGCACCTGCTGGACCTCTTGCTTGCGAACAGAGAGGGACTTGTGGGTGATGTGATGGTTAGAAGCCGTTTTGGGCACAGCAATCATGATATGATAAGAATTTTTGATTCTTGGAGAAGTAAGGAGTAGGTTATTAGAACTGCTACCTTGGACTTCCAGAGGGCAGACTTGGGCCTGTTTAGGAGCCTGGTTGACAGAGTCCCTTTGGAAGCAGTCCTGAAAGGCAAAAGAGTCCAGGAAGGCTGGACGTTCTTCCAGAAGGAAATCCTAAAGGTGCAGGAGCAGGCCGTCCCCATGTGCCAAAAGATGAGCTGGCAGGGAAGAAGACCAGTCTGCCTGATCAGAGAGCTTTGCCTGGAACTCAGGAAAAAAAGAAGAGTTTGATCTCTGGAAGAAGGGGCAGGCCACTCATGAGGACTACAAGGATGTTGTGACGTTGTGCAGGGAGAAAATGAGAAGGGTCAAAGCCCAACTTAATTTTGCTACTGCTCTAAAAGTCAATAAAAAATGTTTCTATAAATA